AGGGCCGCACAGGAGCATGCAGCGACGGAGCTGTCGCAGCCGGTATTTGTAAGCTAAATTTTGAGGAGCTCCCCCTTCCTTCAAATGGCACCCTCCGAGGCAGAGGTGACACAGGAACTCTCCCACCACCGAAGGCAGCAGCTGCCTTCCATGAAGATGGCCAGAGACTGAAGTTCCACGTCTCTGGCCAGAAATCTGCCACTGGCACAAATACTGCTCTGGAACAGGCGCTTTCCCCACTCGTTTCTACTGCTTAATCCTTCGGTTCTTACGAGGTCTCCAACCCTTGCTGACTCATCTTCCTCTTCAGCAGCAGGGAACAGTCTCAGAGGTACGAGCGACTGGTAGGGGCTGGGAGGACGCCAGTGCTGGCCAAAATGTAGCTGAAGGTTTTAGGACCATCCACGGAAGGGGGAAACGAGCGGCCAAATGCCACTGAAAGAAAAAAGGGGGCAAGGAGGGCATAAAGAAGTATTTTTTGCACCGCCACGGCTCATCGATACCGCATGCTCACCCCTCTCTGACAGCAACCAGGACAGGGAATGACAGAGGAACCTTCCCCTCCGGGCAGGGGCACGGAAGCAGAGGCTGAGAGCAGGAAAGGCCGCAGGGTGGGAGGGGAAGGCGCTGCTCTGCGGAGCCGAGCTACAGGGAAGGGGAGAGGAGTCCGAGACCCCCATAGTCTCCCTCTGCACAAAGAGCACGTGCTGTTCCTCCTCCCACCACTCCTCGGCATCAAGAGAGGGACGGCAGGCCACAAAATGCTGGAATCGTACTCCCCCCACTGCCAAGGTGGACAAGGACACAAAACGGAGGCAAAAGGCACTTTCTCGGGGCCTTTGCTGATGGCTTGGACCCAAAATATGCGGAGGGACAGCTAAGGGGTTTTCCAGTACGGCACTACAGCTGAGTGTGTCCTACCACATCCTTTGCATCAAGACTGTTTTACTACGCACCACCCATCGCTTTTCACTGAAGTCAGAGCTCCGGAGCCTGGGAGCAGCAGCTGGAGGCTGCGATGCAGAGACAGCCTCCCCCTCTGCTCACACCCTCCTTTGGAGAACAGTAGGGAAGAAACTTATGTCCAGGGATCCTTCTCACGAAGACAATGGACACCTCTTTTTTTGCTAAGGATCACCGCCATCAACAACACAAACCAGAAGTCGTTCTTGAGGCTCTTCACCCCGAACTACTTCCTCCTTTGATGCCTTCTCATTCTTTAGCTGGCCCCAACTACCCAGCCCATCTGCTGGTCACCAGCCTGGCACATTGCACCACGCTCTCGCACAGCGTGAGCCTTCAGTCTAACCTCTGCCTGGTCAATCCACCACACTGGTCCAAGGTGTCCTGACTGCGGCTCCTCAACTACAACCCCTGCCATCAGCCCTGGGCACCACCCAACACAGAAGAGATGCCCCCTTCTTGAGCCGTAACCTTTGCCTGTTGGATACACAGGGGTCTGCTGAGACAAGAGTCCACCTTTGCCCCTACCTACCACAGACTGGTAGCACTAACAAGTCCCAGGGAGTCCCCAGATGGGAAATCCAAAGGTGGCATCTATCTCTGGTAAAGACTGGATGGTGACTCCATTCTTGCTCTTGAAGTTATCACGGAAGAGGCTCCATTTAAATGTCACCTAACCCTGGCAAAGATGGAAACAGTCACGACTGCATTTGCTACGCTCCAGCACCCACTTCAGCACAGTATTAATGACTACCCAGTGAAGTAGGACAACATCCCTTTTCAGAAACAAAAATTAAACTCCCAACATGGATACTCTCCAACAGCCTAAGTGCCCTCATTTGCATTATGAATGTAGTTAAATACATACACAGTCTTCTCCTGTGGTACAA